TGGGTTTCTGTTAAGTTTCTCAGGATCCACATAAGAGTGAAACCATATGGTCTCTGTCTTTCTCTGTATGGCTTATTTCACTTAGCATCACACTCTCCAGTTCCATCCACGTTCCTACAAAGGGCCGTATTTCATTCTTTCTCATTGCCACGTAGTACTCCATTGTGTATATAAACCACAATTTCTTTATCCATTCATCAGTTGGTGGACATTTAGGCTCTTTCCACAATTTGGCTATCGTTGAGAGTGCTGCTATAACATTGGGGTACAAGTGCCCCTATGCATCAGTACTCCTCTATTCCTTGGGTAAATTCCTAGCAGTGCTACTGCTGGGTCATAGGGTAGGTCTATTTTTAATTTTTTGAGGAACCTCCACACTTTTCCAGAGTGGCTGCACTAGTTTGCATTTCCACCAACAATGCAAGAGAGTTCCTGTTTCTCCACATCCTCTCCAGCACCTATAGTCTCCTGATTTGTTCATTTTGGCCACTCTGACTGGCATGAGGTGATATCTGAGTGTGGTTTTGATTTGTAATACAGTGTTTAAGATATATTTTTCTGTTGGTGTAATTCTAAATGTTAAACCAACTTATAAAGTATGAAGTTGTATATTGGCTCCATTTATAGGACCTTGGATTACTAAAAGAATTGATTTGGAGGAAGTGAAAATTTTTCTCAAACTTTTTATGAGTGCCATATTTTCTTGCAAATTTTGCTTGGGCATTGATTTGGGTATACCTGGCAAAAAAGAAGACTGAGAGTGGAATTTTCCCTTTTTTTCAGGTTTAACATTGAGATTTTTCATCTAGTGATTTTTGAGTATCTCATTTTAATAACTTATAAGAAGCCTAGCTTATACAAAATTATATATAAGATAAAAAATCTATCTTCCTTGAAACATTTTTGCTTTGTATTTCTCATTACATCTTAGAAAGACAGATAATATGATTTATTTAGTGATACCCAATGCATTAAGCCTGATCATGTTAACTTATTTTCTGTTCTGCCAACAGATTGATACTAAAATTGGAAGTTTGTATCAATTGCTGACTGTTAGAAATCGTATGTAATGGCAACAGAATTTCTAAAGAGCTGCTGTAGAGGATGTTTCTATGGTGAAACAGAAAACCACAATTGTGAGTTTGGCTTCTTTTTACATCAACAAACATTTATTTAATATCTTTTTTAAATGTGGCATTTTGTAATATAAAGATAAATGAGAAATATTTCCTGACATCATGGGGGAAGCAGACATAAATGTAAGGCACACCAGGTAAGTAATAAGGTACCCTGGGGCATAAGAGACAGAGAGAAATTCAACCCGGCGGACACCCTGGGACATGACCACTGAGAAGATGGCATTCGGCATGGGAGTCTGAAGAGGACTTCAGCAACTGCGTGGGAAGAAGAAAGTCAGAGAAGGTGAAGATTGGACACGAGGATTAGTAGGTGGATGAAATTGCACAGGCAAAGGCAGGGAGAGAACTGTTGAGTGTGTTTGGGGACAGTATACTCCGGCAAATGTTTTAATTCGAGTAAAGATAGTTCTAGTCGATGACAATGCATTAAAAAACGCCTTTCACAAATGAATGACTAACGGAGAAGAGACCCATTATTTCATCAAGACCCCATATTTATGAAGGACTTCTGGAGATTTCCCTTTCTATTTAATGGTCTCTTCATTTTCTTCAGAGTTATGACTGGAACTTTATTTGTCTTTGGCTTTTTCTTGTGTTTCATTGTCTGGAGCATAGCTCCCTAGTATATTTGAATAGGAAGGCTTCTTTTTGCATTAAAACATTTCACAAATTCCTACACAGTAGTAGTTGGACTTTCATCCAGTCAACAGACAATACCGCTCATACATAAAGATGAACTCGGGGTGTCCCTTACCTCCCCAGCCTAAGTCACCAGCTTAGGAAACACATATAATTTGAGACCAAGGACAAAATAGGTCACAGAAGCTAATACAGGGAGAGTTGCTAGTGTATTAGGGTAAAAATACATTTTATTTTGTGATTCAGTAAAGATTTTTGGAGACTTGGGAGACCTTTAGCTTCTTTTCGGAATTGCTTTATATATTTAAGACTGATATTAACCACTAGTACTGACAACAAGAATTGCTTCGTTGGCAGTATTTTTAAATGCCTGGCTTTTACTTGAAAGTATTGTGGAATTAACTACAAAATAAACTTATTTTCCATCTGTGAACTCTTTTTGTGGGAATGAGTTTCTTTAAAAACTGCTTTTACCATTATGATAAGTTAATATACTTTGGCAATGGTATGCTAATTTTGCAAATATTGCCTGGACAGAATTAATGTAGATTCCAGAAGTGCTTGATAGGACCTAGAAGTGGTAGTTTTTCTATCAGCAGTTTCTTCTAGGAGATTAAGTAAGTACAAAAGCATGGTAACTTTAGATTATTATATATAACTCTACATTCATATTTGTGATTTTTCTTTTTCTTTTCTTTTTTCTTCTTTTATATGTAGTTTCCACAGAAAGAGACTTTAAAGCAGCAGTCTCAGAATGTCAGAATACCACTGTCTGTGTACCTCCATTGACTTCTGTCTCCGTAAAGCCTCAGGTTGGCTGTACTGAGGATTATTTACTTTCCAAATTACCGTCTGATGGCAAAGAGGTACCATTTGTGGTGCCCAAGTTTAAGTTATCTTATATTCAGCCCAGGGTACAAGGAACTCCTTCACATCTGGAAGAACTGGAAGGTAAACCATAAATGGCAGGATTTAAAAATCAACATGTAGCATTTAAATGCTATTGTTTCTGTTACTTTGTTCTTTCATATGTTTAAAGATATAAAATCCTTTTATATATATAAATTTTATATTTTGTTTCTTATATGTTTTGCTCTTTCTGTAGAGGAACTTAATGTATAATATTTTTGAAAGATCTCATTATGAAATCTGATCACATTCAACACATCTGTGTATAGATGTGTCCTTTTTGAAAGGAATCATGTAGGGGCGCCTGGGTGGCGCAGTCGGTTAAGCGTCCGACTTCAGCCAGGTCACGATCTCGCGGTCCGTGAGTTCGAGCCCCGCGTCAGGCTCTGGGCTGATGGCTCAGAGCCTGGAGCCTGTTTCCGATTCTGTGTCTCCCTCTCTCTCTGCCCCTCCCCCGTTCATGCTCTGTCTCTCTCTGTCCCAAAAATAAAAAACGTTAAAAAAAAAAAAAAAAAAAAATGAAAGGAATCATGTAATATCTCAGTTATCTTTAACATGTCTGGAAAGAAAATGAGGAATTTGTTTTTATTTGATCAGTAAATATAGAAAGCATTCTTAAATTTTTTTTGTTTGAGGATAGTTCTTATTTTCTATCTTCTAAAATGTGGTGTAAAGAGGAGAAAGGAAGCAATGGAGTAGTCTTTCTTCACCACTACACTACATGACCCAGTCTCAATAGCCACTTGAATGAAATAGTCATTGGGTAGATTTTGGTTGATGTTGTTAGAGGCCAAGAGAGTAATGGTAAGAAGAAACAACATGTAACTCTTGTATTTTAAAAATAATTTGCTTCAGTGCATTGAAACACTCTCACAGTGTTCTCCCCCCCCCACCTCAAAGTTTTATTATGAAACATTTCAAACACACAGAAAAGTTGAAAGACTATAATGGTGAATGTCCACCACATAGAATCATAGAATTAATCATAGAATTAATATTTTACCAAAATTAATCACATGTCTGTCTATTGATTCTTCTATCCATTATTAATCCTCTTTGGGGCATGGGTGAAGAACACAGTTCAAAGTAAATTGCAGACATTAATATACTTCTAAATACTTAAGCATATATGTAATTTATTAGAGTTCAGTATCTGTTTATAGTTTTCTTCTTTTGATATAAATGTTATACATAATGAACTACCTAAGTTTTAAGTTTGTATTTGTTGAGTTTGGTTAAACGCATGTAACAGTGTAATCCAGACTCCTGCCAAAATCTAGAATATTTTTCCACATAGTCTTTTCTGCCCCATCCTTCTTCTCTTCTTTTTAAAAAAATTTTTTTACATCTATCCATTTTTGGGAGACAGAGACAGAGCATGAACAGAGGACAGGCAGAGAGAGGGAGATACAGAATCTGAATCAGGCTCCAGGCTCTGAGCTGTCAGCACAGAGCCCGATGTGGGGCTTGAATCCACAAACCGTGAGATCATGACCTGAGCCAAAGTCAGACACTTAACTGATTGAGCCACCCAGGCACCTCCCATCCTTTTTCTCTTCTCATTTTGGGATTCCAATTAGACACATGTTGGACCTTTTTATATTGTTTTATGTGCCTCTGAGACTTTTTTTTTTTTTTTTTTTTTTTTGCTGTTCAACTTTTTTCCCCCTCTGTCAAGATTGGGTATTATTGACTGTCAAGTTCACTCTTTCCTCTGTCATCTCCATGTAGCTGTTAAGCTCATCCAGTTAATTTTTATTTTAGACATTATATTTTTCAGTTGTTGAATTTACATTTAGTTCTTTTTTTGTAGATTCTATTCTTTTGCTGTGATTTCATTTTCTTTTTTTTTTTTTTTTTTT